TTCCCAACGTGGTAACTGAGTCACTGAAAACCAATGTCAGAGTGTGTGTGATGCGTCTCACTTTGACATGACTTCATCAATCTAAACAAGCAAGCTTGCTTGGCAATTGAGCCACATCCTGATGGTTTGCATGTGTTGCATCTGTTCGTCAGTATTCAGAGGTAGTCTGCAGGGTCGACACTGCCATTTGCAAAACCATGTTTGACCTTGGTTGGCTGAAGATTGAAGGCGGAAAGTGGGCCGGTTCTTTTCATGGGAGATGAGTGCAAAACCATCCAGGCCGTGCTTGCTGCAAGAGCTGCAACAGTTCGGCATCCTCGTTTTGCTTGTGCGGCACAGCGCAAACGGCCAAGACATGCCAAAACCACCTCGAAATCTTTTGGATTGAATGGCTTTTGACTAAGCCAAGGACAGACTCGCACACGGGTGGGTCAAAAGAACCTTGTTCACACACAAACTTGCAGATAACTCACCCAATCCACAACGTTGAGCTCCCAACGATCATCGGACACTTCCTGGTTGCTTTTACAACAAGCAAATTGTCAAAAGTCCTTGGAATCATGAGGTTTTTTGGTCAGTGATCTGTTTGTTGAGTTCTGCTGTGTAACATCGCAATTAAATAAATGTGGAGATATGACTTTTGCTCAAACAAATGGCACTCAAAAGGGTGAGATGCTGACATGGGTCCATCATGTTTATTCTTTTCCTCCACCTCTTCACCCTTGGGTGCTTCCGAGGTGAAGGATCATCTTGAGTTAAGAGGAATTCGCCTGCAGCCTGATGAACCTGGATGAGGCCGCTCCAAAACATGTTGGTAGTGTTAGACTTTCACTCCAGCAACAACTGGCTGCAGGCAGAGATCACGGAATACTTGGGAGACGTGCAAATATAGAATTGACAGCGAGAAACTTGTCCAACTTTAACTGCTTTGGGTTGATAGGATTGCGCGCCGTGTCAACAGTGATGCAGGCTGAAAAAAAGGAAAGGAATACAAAAGCTGGAACAAGGAAGTGGAGTCAAGATTGGGCAGGCTTGGCAGCAGGAAGAGATTGGAAGTCAAGATTGACCTGCCTAGATTGAAGAGTGAAACAAAAGCTTTTGAATGAGAAAGCTGATGTTACGTAGCCTTGTCTTCATTCTGAGTAAAAGTGCAATAAATAATGAAGATCGTTTCTAATGATGGCGCCAAATCTCAACACCACACTTCAGTCAAGCCGACCTGCGCGGCGGCTGCCAAAAGAGCCGGATTCATCCAAAGGTCCTCAGCATGCTCTCTGAACAAGCTCCAAAGCTCCCCTTGTAACTCTGCATGATGCATGATGCGTATGTTTTTGCTTCTCCTGACACTTTCCTCTGGTTACAGGTATTTGCAGGTGATTAGGGATCACCCACAGCAGGATTGTGGAGAATGCAGAATTGCAGCAACCAGTTCTTCGGACAGAGCCTCCATGGCCATAGACAAGGAAAAACTGTTGACACCTTATGCAGCAATGGATATTGTCCGCGCTTCTGGTGGCTACTCCAAAGTCATAGAAACAATTCCATGCCGGAAACCTTTGGGTGTTGAAAGCTCTCCATCACAGCAACTACTGAGGCTCAAGCGAACTGCCTGTAGCATGAAGTCAAGATTGCTGCGCCTGGACACAAAGTTCCCTCACAATTAGTTGTCAAACTGCTCTCGTGTATTCATACTACAAACAAAATGTTTCAAGCATACTGCAAGCATACTACAGGCTCCAGACAACGATCTGCAGGCATACTTCAAGGAGCGCCAATTCGTCCCGACCTCGGCCGCTCAGAGGCTGGCCCGCCCAGGGGTCTTAGACCTCTAATCTTCCATGGAGTTGATATAGAAACAACTGCTTTTTCTGCAATTTATTTGATGTCTGAGTGTTTTGTAGCCGCCATTGGGCCAACAAACCGTAAGGATAGGCTGCGGATGTGATGAGGCGCTGATACGCGTTGGCCTTTTCCCAGCTATACCCACAATAAGCGCCAAGAAAAATGGCAATGGATATGTTTAAAGCTAGACTCGCAGCACAATGCTGAGTTGGGTCCCGAGGCCGAGGCGGAAAGGTAAAACTATTGTCCCGGCAACAGACCCCAAACAGGAACACAATAAAGTTCAATAAAGCACGCACCAGAGAGCACACACCAAATGAAAGCACACATATGCGAGCACACATATACGGCAAACATAAGAGCGCAGGCAAATGAGAGCACATGAAAGCACAAATATGAAAACACACATGACAAAGAACATGTGACGGCACGCATCTGCGAGCACAAGTATGAAAACACCCGCATAAAAGGAGTGAACAACTGCCCGAGTAACCTAAATAAAAGTACATTCAAGATTGCCCTGCGCCACCCGCCAAGTGAAAAAGGGCCTAAGTACAGCGTGAAAGGGGTCTAACAACTATCCTGAAGCTCCAAGTTCCAAATGCTCAATTCGAACAACAAAAAACGACAAGAACGTCAGCGAATGAAAAGCGGATGGAATGGACAGCCACTTGACGCCTGGGGTTGGTGACGAAAGCGATGTGGCGAGAGGCAACGGAGATGTTTTTGATGGCAAGCGCCTGGTTCCCGTGCGTCCTGGCGGTAAGGCAAAGACATCCTGGTATATACAAACACCTGAATCAGAGTAAGGGGCGTTGAACCCTGCGGTGTGTGGTGTAAACCGTGTGGTTTGGTGTAAGCCATGGTTTGGTGTAAAACGTGGTTGGTGTAAATTGTCGTTCGGTATATACAAGCCCGTGGAGGAGAAAGTTTCTGTGGCATGAGAAGGTCATGGGCCATACAAAAGCAATAGCAGAATGCTACGAATCGATGGAACATGATGCCAAACACAGGCAACACAGAAGCACAAGAGGCAGGCGACGAGGGGAGGAGCAGCCTAGGACAAGGACAAGGAACACGACGACGAACACGATGCCGCGACGCCCATCTAACACATCAGAATTGAAAGAAAACAAAAACGACATGACAGCCCAACTGGCCCCCAGTGAGAGCAAACAGATGAGACCACTCACATGGGAGCACACGAATGAGCATGCACACAAAAGCACGCACATGGGAATGCGAAAATGTGAAGCCACACGCATGAGAGATCATGGCATCGACGCCAACCTATGGATGAGCACGAGACGTGGGCTCATGAAGAAGAACTTCTACCAGAATTCCTCCAGGCTTGGTATCTGCTGGCTGACGCTGGACTCAATGCACAAGAGAGGAACATGATCCAAACGGCCATTGGTGAGACCTACACCATCCAACGGATGTCACAAGAGCTACGAACACAATGGCCAGAAGATGATCTCCTGCGACGAGACCAACATCCACATCCCAGAACCACTGGATACTGGCATGAGGAAAAGGAGAGCTCCGGTTGATTGCCAACGGCATGAATGAAGAAGGCATCGTACTGATGACCACAGCAGTGGGTCAGTACTACAAGACCACCGAGAAGACTGTCAGAGACGGAAAACCGACAGGTGGCGCGGGCACAGCCGGAGTCAAGTGCTTCCGGTGTGGAGGACCTCACAAAGTCGCCCAATCAAGGCGAGATGAGGCACATCATGCCCAGGAAGAGGCATTGTGTTTTTCTCAGACGTCTATGAGGTGGAAGATGACGAGGGCTACATCACAGCGAAAGAAGGGGACGAGCCAGATGTATCTGATACATCTGTTTCTAAGCCCCCGGAATGCCTGAAATGCTCGGCAGACCAGGATGCATCATCCACATCCTGGCCTACCGCGGGCCAACACTTCACCCGGGACAAGGACGATGTGACTGAGTACCACCACGGTGACTTTCAGCTGATTGAGAACTACACTACTCACTACTAGTACGAAGGAAGACATGACGACCTGCCAGCAAACCAGCTGGTACACAGAAGAGCCAATGCTTCAGAAGACACAGGCATCAACCGGCAAAAAACCACAGAAGAGGCGCTATGGCATCATAGATGGAGGAGCAACACGAACCTTAACCTCAGTGAACGCTCTTGAGGCGATGGTGAATGAGAATCTCCGCAAACACCAAGATGGTCGAGTCCTTGAGGTGGACACGAGCAACCAGCCGCTGTTTGCCTTTGGAAACAGAAGAGAAATGTTTGAGCACGGCCAAGATGAAGATTGTGGCCAACTAGAAGGATG